TTTTTTTTATTATGTTGAAGCTATTTGAGCCAGTGCACTTGAGCACTTTTATTCTTTCTTAACTCGAGGTATTTTTAAAACCCCTCTTTACACCTTGACTGGATTATTGTTTATCACTTAATCAGACTAAGCAATAATTGATCTCAGATCTGCATACCTCCTTGAGTAGCCTGTAACCATTATGCGATTTGATAACGCAGCGTTGGTAAGACTATCAGTTTTCGCAAATAATTTCAGGGCTGAATACTTTATGTATTTTTTGATCGGATCAATCTTGAAGTCCCTTAGGATGTCATTCGTCCTGATTTTGTCTATATATTCAATTTAAAAAAAATAATATTTCACCATCACATATTAATTTAATAGTCCGAGTTTATAATAAAAAATATGTTAAACATTTTTTAAAAATCCATTTATATGTCAGCGCAATATTTAAATCTGAACTATTCGGTACAATTCTTAGTACTGAAATTTGTTATTAATAAATTAATTATTCAACAAAATTGATTAAAATGTGACAGTTTTAATTACAAGACTATTTTTAAAAAATTGGTTAAGCTAAAGATTAAATGTCGTATCAATGTGATAAAAGTTTATTTCCAAACTTTTATCGATCTGTAAAAAATAATTCCCTGATATTAAAAATAATACTCATACAGCATTATGAGAAAAAAAATAAGAACGGCTTTGTTATCACAACAAAGCCCTGTTTTATAGAACTAAAAAATTGAGTCCATATTGGGAATTTGAAAAAAATTGGTCATCACGGCGTTTGAAAAATGTACATCACTAATTTCATTACCATAAATTTTATATTTTATATTACAAATAAGCGAAAAATTGAATTAATGAGTAAGTCATATATTAAATAGTATACCATATGTTGATTAAAGGTCACGTTATATGTGAAATTGTTGATGTTTTTAATGTAAATAAAAAATTTAAAATTTGAGAATAACAAAGAAAATTTTATTTAGCTATAATTATTAAGCTTAATAGGTAGGTTGGAGTTGTGGCCTTTTATTCAAAAAACTTCACTTGAGCTCAAATAATGGCCCACAGTAATAGCGTTCCTGGTCAGTATACGACCAACGTCGAAAAAGGTAACGACTTCCCCATTAGGCAAAGGTAAACCAACCTGACAGTTCTATGAATTTGGCTAAAGTCCCTAATATTGCAGAATGATAGCTCAGTCAGGTTGGCAAGAAAAGCGGCCCCATAAATTTTTGATATTCTTCTAGCTAAAGAATAGCACTGGTATATGAAATAAAGTACAGTTTCCTCCTGATCCTTAGAGCCACAGCCTTGACAAAAGTTGTTGTAGAGTAGATTTAGTCTCATAGTATACCTCCCTATTATACAGTGGCCCGTCAGATACCGTAGGGCTGTGCAAGTTCCGCCTTAGTTGAAGTAGCTTACTAGTGCGTTTTTATTTAAATTTGACCAAGTCAACCTAGATATCTCACAAGATATCTGAAAAGTGAATGTAAGGGAGAAAAGCGCATGCCTTGGTAAGCTTGTCTGTCATTCCCATGGTACACTTTCATGATTGAGAATGATTGTTAGAGAAAGACATGTATATGCCTTTGTGCAGATTTGTTTATATATCCATACAAAATATGCTAATTTTTAATTTTGTCACAGCCAAAACGTATTGAGATAGTCGTAACAGTATGAAACTAGAAATTGTAATTTAACTGTTTGCATGACAAGTAGAAAAGTGTAAAGCTTGCGTGACCCTTCGTTACATGACACGGTCCTAGGTAAAAACAATCATTTCTCAAAAATATTAATGAAACTTGAGGAACAATTAATTGTTCCTAAATAAATAATATTTATATTTTAAATATTGATATATAATACATTTAACTTCTTTTTCTACGGACAACAAAATTATTCATACATCAATTAAAATATCTTCGATAAGCTTTAGTAACATAAAGTCAGCACCTTCATGAAAGCCTTCTTCATCAGTATTAGTTTTGGTTTCAAAATCTAAACTTTTGAAGTTTACATCGTACTTTACACCAAAAACGGAAGTATGAAGAATGTGTAAAACTACCATATTTGCTGACGAAACTGAGGTAAGGTGCGGCTAAGAACGTAAGCTATGGCCATAAGAAGAAAGTTTTATGCTTAAACACTTCCTCTAAAGCGAATTTTTTTTGACCTTCATATACCGACTGTATTGAATAATAACCTCAAAACAACTGCTAGAAAAATGCAAGAACTTTGTAAAACATAAAAAATTTAAAAATTGATTTATTGAGTTTAGATTAAAGGTTAAACTCTGACAATGTAACAAATGCTTTTGTTGCAATTGACAATTGACATATATACAAATAAAAAATAATTTGTTTTTATTGAGTTGTTAATAATATTCAGATAGGAATAGAAATAAACAGGGTACCAGCTCCCAACGGAGCGGAGCACTGCGACCATAGTTGATCTTTTCTGCTGCAACAAACTTAAACCGAAAAAAAGACATTCCGCCTTTCAACACAAATTCAGAATGTTGGCCGTTGAGAACCTTCTAATGTCAGAAGGGAAGAGTAGTTCTCTCGACATATTGATCTCCTCCTGGCCCAGATCAAGGCTGGGCAGTCACAGAGAATGTGACTGAAAGTCTTGTGTGCTTTTAAGCAGAGTTGTCAATCTATCTCTTCGCACAGACCCATTTTATTAAGGTGATAACGCAGTCCATGGTAACCTGTTAAATATTCCATCAGCAACCTCAACTCTGTTCTGCTGAAGAAGAATACCATGCCATAACTGTTGGGATGAACCAACTCTTTAGCCTGACGGTTACCTGGAATGTAGCGCTAGTAGCGACTTCTCTCGGCTTTAATAATATTCAGATAGTTTTATATAAATTGCAATAAGCTATTCTTAAACCATTTATCTTTGCACAGATTTTCTATTTTATTATGTTGCTTCTCTAACATAATAAAGAGGAGGCAAAATTATAATACTTAAAAATAAATTAAAATGTTAATCTTAACTCCATAGTAAATTAAAAAACAAATCCGCCATAAATTAAACGAAAACCCCTTCAAACGCTTAAATATTCCATTATGCATGCCACATGCCGCAATTCTGCATACAGAAATGCCAAGCAAAACTTCCGCTCTTATTTGGGAAAGTTCCAAACTGAATATTCTTGTTATTGTTGTCTTTTAGTTTGGCTCTCATGGCTGCGATTGTGCTACGCATTCTTGACTTTGAAAAATTCCTTTCATAATTTGTTGAGATTTCAGTATTTCTATTTGCGTGCTTAGGTATCTACAAACACTGTGAAAAGATAAGCAATTTAAGTTGCAGTTAAATTGAAAGGGAAAATTGACATCTTGACACAACAATGCTTGGAACTTAAACAATGCAGGAGTCGTAAAGCATGTCCAATTAAAAATATGCCATCAAAACTATTTCAATTTTCGCATGTCGTAATTAAAGTCTTAGATGAAATGTTTACCAGCACTGTTTTATCATTTAAAAATATGTTGTATGCAAAAAGTATCTAAAACTTATAATTTGAAAAGAGCGGGTAAAAGATACTGCCACAATTATTTTCCTGTAAGTTGAGACCGGAGTTACCATGTAAGATTTAACCACGATCTGCTAATATGGTAAGTGTATTTACATCACAAATTTTTGCAATTTGAGTGTTCTGCGATAGCGCAAAGCGGATGGTTTTGTAAAAAAGATTTAGATAAAAAAACTAAACGAATATGATAGACCCGAAAATTGCCTACTTAATGAAACCTACTTTGAATATGATAACCATAATGTATACATCAGACATGCAAATAACAGATAATGTCCTGGTATCTATGGCGGTGAAATGTCTTTAGCATTTGACAAAGCTTTTCCTTAAAAGGAAAAAAATCTTTTGAAAGACCCCAAAAACAATTTTGTATTTTAGGGTAGCTTTATATTGCTTCTTCTCTTTTTTCCGAATAAATTAGAAGAAATTATCACCTCCCCAGACACAAGTCACTTCAAGTTTTCGATTAAGTCACATGAAATTAACATAATCTAAGACACAAGCATTCCAACATTGTTGGGATTTTCTGGCAGCCGAGTTTACAATTCTGTTGCCATAAAATCCAACCTTGCTTGAAACTCATTGCATCCATATCTGATTATATTCAGTTCTATAACTTTATTACCAGTCTTGATATCACTTGATGCTTCTATCACCTATTCCATGAGTTTAATAAATCACCTATTCCATGATTTTAATAATTATATTAACGGCGTTAGTAAACACTTCTGCCTCTTGTAGAAATTTTTACATAAAAGTTAGTTAAGTTTTTGTCAAGCGCTTACCAGTATTTTAATACTAGCCGATAACCGTCTACCCCCACTTCTTCTTAAGTAAGGAAACTATTCGTATACACATATTTATATTTCGTGCAACCAAGGCAAAATAGGTCGTCTTATATCTTCCAAATCTATATGATCAAATTTCCGTCATATGTTGTCTAATCATTTATAAATAAAAATAAAGCTATAAAAAATATAAATCGTAAGCCTTGATTCGATTTAATTATACTAAAAAATCGACGTTTCAACTCGAAACTAATTTGGGGCAAAACTGATCTGATTATACAGATCATACGCAATATCTTCAACGAGATTGGCTATATAGTTCAGAAACTATGGGCGAACACGAATTTTCACAATAACAATTAGACCCCCGATTGCATGACTATATAAACATATAATATGTATATATAAAAATTAAATGTCGGCTAAGATCAAAACAGTGATAAAAGTTGAAGTACTGTGAGCACTGATTGCGAGACATCAGAAAATTGAATTATTTTTGATATAAAATTTTACTTAGCCTAAATAGTACGGTAAGTGAACAATATATATGTATATATATATATTTTTTTTTTAGTAAAAGGAAAGATATATTTAGTTAGCATTTAATAGTATTATGCAATAAATAATGCAAAATAAATTTTGTATATTTTTTAAATACAATGCTTTAATATTTGGTATATTCTAAATTCGATGCGACGTTTATTACAAATAAAACAAATTCTCAATGTATTATATTTGAGGTTTCTATTCATAAAACTTATCACACTCTTGATATACTTTTTAAATCTAAGCTACTGTGAAATCATCGGTGAAGTAAAGAAAAATGGATGGAGCCAAGTAGTCATCATCTGGAGGAAAACCATTTCCTGTCAAGTTTGTGGAAAAATCAATCGGCGTTTTAACCTTTAAAATATTAAAAGTTAAATTAATAAAATTCAAGAAAAGTTCAAGAAAAAACTTACATTATTAACAAATTTACGCCACAAGTAGCTACTAGCATGGTGATTATACTTATTCTTATACATTCTAAATATTTTACCCAATGTATCCTCTTCATTAACAACCATTTTGACTTCAGTATTTATGAATGTATTAACAATACGTACAGTACGAACACATGCTGTTATGTTGCCAATATGATACAATGGATCTCTGGTCCACAAGTCATTAATAGATTTAGCTGTCGCAGTTCTTGCGGTCTCAAGAATAGGTGTAAATACTACACGTATTACGCCTGAACGTCCAGATATTTCAGTTATAGGCTCTCCGTTCTCATAAAAAAAGTGTGAAATGTCCTTACCCCCAAATGCAGCTAAATAGGATAAATTCTACAATGGAAATATGCATATACTAAGAGTTATTTTATTCTACTTATAAATTATTTAGATGAATCTGAAATTGTTAGAATATTCTTACGCAGTTCCATGTAAAAAGTCTGTCCTGAATAAATGGTGTCAAATTCAACACCTTGCCATAAAAAATGACCCAAAAGTCATCAAGTTTATTATGTGGAGCGACTTCATCGCGCTTGTAAATTTTTATGGTCTTCATTGCAAATTTTAAAAATTTTAATTTCAAAAGAAATTCCGGAACAATTAAATTTTTAGATACAGATAGAACATATAATTTATGAGGTAAAAATATTTAAAAATATATATATTTTGAAAATTCGTCTACTTTCAAAATAAAGTTATGCTAATTTGATTGATTTTTTAGCATAACTATTAAAATAATATATTTTACTAATGAAGTAAAATTTTATTAAATTGACATAAAATTTATTTTAATAAAATAAAAAAAAGAGGTTTTCGAAATATTCCTTTTTATATTACTTTAATTAATTGAATTTTTAGCTGACCATACAGCTGTTTCAAGTACGGCCAAATACCCATCATTAGTGGTCTTGGACATAATTCTTGTACTTAATTATTCGTAAATAATTTTTTTGAGACTGCAAGTATCAGGAATCGAATTCATGCCCTGCCAAATTTAAAGCCTAGAGTCAGCGCTCCGTAACCAACTGATAAAAAGTCGTACTTTATAAAAGTCATAAATAAAAGAAAATTAAAACTAAATTAAATAAAATCAAAAAATATTAAATTAATTTAAAAAAGTTTAATAAAATAACTAAAACAGGATTTTATGTGAATGCTACTTCACATAACTTGAATAGCATTTAAAGAAAAGTAGAAATAATTGGTTTCCAGGTCTTCGAAGGGTTCTTAAAATGCTTCTTACAGATTTAAAGACAGAGATTGTTATATAAACTTAATGTTTATTAAGTTTGTGAAGCACTTTATATTTGTAATAACTATAACTTATAGTATTAATATTTTTCAGTCCCTTATGTGATTCTAAAGACTTCAATTAATCAATTCAAAGCCTTTTGACTGTTTATACGCCTCTTTATATATAGATTTGTTTATACATACAATGACTGGACAACTATTTTTATTAGCAATTAATTAGTAATTAAGATTCGGACAAAAATTTGCTTTCGAGAGCTTTACATACCTAGGGAGTATTCTTTCGGCAGATGGGGGATGCGAGAAAGGAATTTAATAGCCGCATTCAAAAGCGCGAGTATCATTTGCTAGGTTGTACAACATATGGCGGGTCTACAATATATGTACCAACACCAAGGTAAAACTTTTTAACGCATACGTCACATGAGTATGCCTATATGGTTCGAAAACTTAGCTTGCTAACTCCGAAATCGGATGAAGATTGAAATTATTTATCAATCGATTCCTGCGTAACATATTAAGGATTTGGTGATCTAGAATGATTTCAAATGAAGAATTATGGAGAATAACGCTCCAAACAAACACAAACAACGAGATAAGAAGTAAGAAGTATGGTTGGATTGGATTGGACACACACTGCGTAAGCCTTATGAAGATATCGCGCATATTGCACTTACTTGGAACCCCCAAGGGACTAGGCGCAGATGCAGTGGCGTAACTACATTTTTTAGGCCCGTAAGCAAATTCTAACTAAGGGGCCCCTACCAACATACTAAGAGGCCCCTCTTTTTTTGCTCTTTACACGAAAAAATGTAAAAAGGGTATATAAGGTTTGTCAAGATTTTCGTAACGCAGTAAAGGAAACTTCGGAAATACCATTAAGTATATATCAGTATACTTTTACAGTTCAAACTACTCTCTCAGCTTTTGAACTCTTCGAATGAAACTTTATACACATACAGGAGCGCACCCTGTTCACCATTTGATTTGATTGAAATTGGACGTCTATTTCTTGTAGCTGTGATATAAACTTAACAATCGGATATGAGGTTTCTCCGTTTTTAATAAAGGTATTCAAATGGAATATGTGGTATACAGTACTGATATTTGCAAAAGACAACGTACAAAATTATTTTCAAATGGGTTTAAATTTAGATATAACTTCCATATAAACTCTCGATCAAGACACATATTTTTCTTAGAAAAACTTTTTTATTTCATAAATAGGTTTAATATTTTATTTGAAGTACATACATATTATGTACTTTAAATTTAAAATTTACGTATCTTTTATAAAATGCAATATGAAATTATTCCAACAAAAAACGTTTCGTCCCACTTTTGAGAATTTATTAAAAAGAAATACAATGAATACAAAAATTTATAGTGGGGCCCCCTAAAATCGGGGGCCCGAAAGCGTTGCTTCCAGTTGCTTCCCTGTAGTTACGCCACTGCGCAGATGCAGACCAGCAATGACTTGGAAAAAGACAGTTTAGTAGGAGACGGACAAATCTTTTAACAAGGTGAGAGCAATAGCAAGCAACAGAAGCCAGTGGAAAACTTTTGTGGACTTCTTCAGCTTCTATTGGAGTATGGAAATAATAATGCTCTAAATTACAAAGCATAATTATAAATAAAATTTATAAAATATAAAGTATAATTAAAAGAATTATATTTTATTTTTGTTGGCACTTAAACCCACTGCGTTAAAAGGTTTATTTTGTAGTCGTATATTACAATTAAGGTAAAAATTATAAAACAATATTAAATACCGGAAAAATATTGTTAAATGCAAATTCATGAAACAGCAAATAAGCGAATTATTAATTTAAAATGACATAAAATAGTGAAAAACCAGTCTACAGTCAGAAATTAGTCGACTCGTTTTCATTAAAAACTTACATTGACACCCTTTAAATCGTGTTACTTCACACTATGCACCTTGAGAATGTGGCAATTAAATTTTTAATAAAGTTTTTTTCCATTAAATTATATACATTTATCTTTTATGTACGATAAAATAGTAATTGTTATTTTTTATGCAGCCAAGGCATGTTTAAATTAATTAATTTAATTTACTTTAGTTGAAATAAAAATATTGGGATTAGCACTAATTATTAAGTGTTTAAAAATTATATAGCAAACGGATTAGCAAAATCCAATAAAACACTATTTTAGTAAGCCTATAAAAATTAATATTACATTAGGCGACAGTGTATGCAATTGGGGAGGCATGTAATGTATTGACTGCAAACCATTAATTTAAAAATAAAATTGTCACATTAGTAATTGGTTAACTCAAGTCCTCAATTCAGTCATCGCCACCTTCTACTAAGTAAAAAAAAAAGTAACCCAATCATCTTAAGCGAATTTGTATTAGGTAGTTTGGAGTGGTGGCCTTGTTTCCAAAAGCCTACTTAAGCCCATTGTGGTATCATAGGAATAGCATAGATCATCCTTAACGGAATAAAAAACCTGATGAGAATATCATTTGCCATGCAAAACCTCTTAAATACAGTGTTCACATTATGGATAAGGTTTAGGTTAACTGAGTAAGGTCAAAGTATTGATGTAAATGCAGACATTCTTTACTGTGGATAGCTTATCAAAAAAATCTTATCAAGAGTGCGAGCATTTTTAGTATATAAAACGATTGCTGGAGATATTTTTAGTTCGCACCAAATTAACGACATACTAATTGTTTTTTTTTAATTAGAGATTTAGGGACATTAGGATTCATTTAATTTAATAGTATTCATATTTGAAAGTATTAAGGTCTACCTTAATCACCTTATTTTTATTTTCAGCATATAAGACACAATGTATTAAAATAGTAAATTATTTTTGCATACAGAAACGGATGATATTTGTTCTCCAAATTACTAAAACAAAGTGAGAATTATAATTTTTGTAAAATAAACTTAATTTTATTTTTTTTAAATAAATTAATTTTTTAGTTAATTATTAATTTTTTTAATAAATTAATATTATTAATATGATATAATTTGCATATAATTATTAACTAATATAATATCAAACTCCCCACAAGATTAGAGGTATCGTATAAAAAGAGGAGGCAATCGCTAGGTTAAGCTGACGACATTAGATCATAGCTTTAAGTAAATAATGTGTAAAATATGGAATATTACTACTACTATAATTATTTACTATATGCAAATTAATTTATATATGAATGTGAAAATAACCTTTTGCAAAATACATAATCCAACGGAAATTTCACTTGCAATTTAATCTTTTATTATTATTTAGTTATTATTTATAGATTTTGTTATATATTATTAAATTATTTTATTATTTTTATAATTTTGTTATTTTCTATTATTCACTTATTAAACAACGAAAACAAATCAATTATAAAATATAAAATACTTAAAAAATTATTTATGATTTTTATAAATAAATTTACAATTTTTATAAATAAATTTATAATTTTTATAAATAATTTTTATATTTTAAAATACAAAAATATTTTAGATTATTTATTATTACATTTTTTTTTATTAGAGGGTGGCAACAATACAAATTATATTTAGCAATAAAAATGGTCTGTATATACAATATACAAAATATAAACGTATTTCATATTACAGACTCACCTATTTTATGATACCGGAAGTGAATATAAGTAAACCACATTTGTGATTGAGTTTTCAATCATCTACCGTCATATGTAGTCATGTTAAATATCCTCTCAAGGCGTAGATTACTTTGAAGTAAAATAAATAAATGTTCCATCTCCACAGATCGTTCGCTCAGGAACTTTATATAGCATTTCAAGACATCGCACCAAAAAATGTCTTTTAATTTAGTAAAATTAAAAAAGCTGCACGAAAATGGTTTTGAAAATGATTTTTATTTTTCTAAAAAACAAAGCAACCTTTCGTTATTATTTTATTTTAATAAAATTGTTTTCTATCAAATTCATTGTATATAGTTTTTATTATATTATTTATAAGAAACATTTAGATATCATAGCTAGTGAGAAGACGAAATTTTAAAATCTTAAGTGGTGTTCGGGTGATATCCGTAAATTTATTTTTTACCAAATTTATTGTTTTAGAATGCGTCGTTGTAAGTTCAATAAGTCGAGAATATCTTCAGAGACTTTTTCAGAAATAAAGTATTCTCATTTTAGCTAAAACTTCGAAGGTTTCGACTGAGGTCGGTGGAGAAGTCACAGATGGTTGTTCTAATGGTGTGAGTTCCATGCGAATTAATGCTGGCGCAGTTTTTGAGCGTGGTGATGGTGATTCTAGTCATCAGGGACGTATAAGTATTGGCGCTGGGGAACACCTAGGCGTAAATGTGCAACATGAAGTTCAAAAAGTTGTAAGTGTTAAAGATGATGA